AAAATAATAATAACATAATAGGTTGAAAACTATTGACCCGTTCTTTAAATCAATAAAATAGACCTTTAATGGTGACGTCTTACGTAGTATATTTAAATGCATACACCTTATTTCATTATTAAGGTTTCTTTAAATATGGCCAAACATTAAATAAAGTCTGTGACTATTTTAATTCAATAATGAAAATTTCAACATTTTATTGATTTTTATAATATGATGTTTTAATTTATGAAGAATGGACATTAAAACAACATGAAAATGTTGTAGTTAAAAATAAAATACATTTTCTCGCAGGACCACGCTAATGAGGAGTGCAAGGTGTTCAAAAAACTGCTCCCGAAAATGTAGGGTGGTTTTATAAATCAAATCTCAGAAAAAAATATCATAATTACTTGTATAATAATAATTTATTATAAACATGATATAAAACATGTTTTAAACAATAACTAAAAATCATGTTAATAACATTTTTGAAGTTAAACAAGATTCTGGATAATACTGAGCTATGAAATTGGGGGGGGGGCACCATTTGCTTGTAAACATAGGTGGCTAAATAGATCAGAGTGGGCCTATTTTTACGTAGTTTAGTAGGAATGTATTACCTACTATAATATAACCATTTTTGTCTTAAGAATTATTATTTTAAAAATACCTATTACCATATATTAAAAATTTGGATTTTTGATGGAAATTTATTTGGTTGACGATTTGAGCAAAAAAAAAAAAAATAATAATAAGATTAAAAAATCAATAGAATATAATTTTAATAAAAATATGATAAACATTTGTATAATTAAATGAGTTATCAACACACAGTTTTTGAACGGTCATTTTAAATTTTTTAAATTGGTTTATAGTCTAAAAAATGTGCAATTGAGTACGTGAAAACAATTTGAATATTTATTTATTCTATAATTTGATCACGAAAAAAAACTGATTTGATTTAATTTGATTAAAAACTGCTACCTTAATAATTGATTGTGTATTGTATGATTTTACAGATTTGAGCATAATGGGAATAGTCGTGCCTAGAATAACTGTTCATTCTCCTTCTAGGAAACGTACCCTGCCAACTAACTGCGAAAATGATCATCGTAAGTAAATATATATTCGATTTTACACTTTATTCTTTGGCAATTTATTATTGTAAAAACTGAATATTATTATATAGATATTTTTATAGTAATAAAATATAAAATCATATAAGCCTCAGATTATAAATGACAATATTCAATTAGGAACGATCAATATTGCAGGGTCAACATATTTTATATTTAACAATGACTATAATATTCTCCATGTATCAGGTTTTTTGCATCAAATGAGTAAACATCAAAATATTCCACAAATGTTTTATTTTATCATTTTATTATACCTAATAAATGAAGACAACAAATTAAAAAAAACTTCTTTTATCCAGAATATGACAGTTGATAATACCTAACTCAAAAGCAATTAATCCCCTGAAATAACCTTTAAATAATTGAAACTCATACAAAAAAATCGCTGTACCTATATAATTTTGTACTTAAACAATATCTGTTATTCCCATCAGTTTATTTTTTAAGGTTCCTTTAGTTCAAAAAATATTCTTGTCATATCTTTATATTTATAGAATTATATTAGTCAGAGGCGGATCCAAGGGGGTGGGTTAGGGGTTACCCCCCCCCCCCCCCCAAAAAAAAAAAAAGGAAAAAACCAATAATTTTATAAATTAAAAAAAAAAAAGATTTTTTTTTTAATGTATGACGGAAAGTATGTACTTTGTATTATTATTCAAACAAGAAATTAATTGTTTTAGATTTAAATTAATGTATTATATTACTTACTATTATTTTAATTCATTATTTCATACACTTAAATATAATTTTACAATTAAATTAAAAAGTTTTGCAATATATTTTTCTTAGTTTTTTGAAAAGTTCTTCAAAAACCTCATCAACTGATACATTTATAGATTTATGAATATTCACAGAAGTTAAACGGTTGAGCCTTTCTTGATATGTTGTATTTTTTTTATTTTTACTTCAATTTTACATTCCAATTAATTCCAATAACGTAGATACAAAATTCGTCAATCATTATAGAAACTTACAACAGTCGTATCACTTGTCACGATAATATATATCATAGATGTTTTCTACCTCAAAATAATTTGGGTTATACACAAAATATAAGTAAGTAATAAAATCAGTTTACGAATAACAATTGTTTAGTATATGTAAAATGTATATACCTATATTATACATATGTACCTACTAATAAAATGATATATGAGATTCATTTTTAAATGTGTACTACTGCATTACGAAGTAAAAACCCTTGATTAATTACTGATTGCAATGTTATAAAAAATATCCCAAGGGAAAACATTTTTCGACCCCCCCCCTCCCACAATGAAAATCCTGGATCCACCACTGATATTAGTTGAAACGATAATCACTCGAGAATATAAAAAATTTACATTAAATAAATGAATGAAATAAGATAAAAATATATAGGTAGTAATAATGTGCATATAAATATGAGTATAAGTAATATATTATATTATAAGAAATAATTTGTATATTAAGTCAATAAGTGTTTTTTTATTTTTTTATTTGTTCATCGTAAATGTAATTATGACATTATGCGAGAATGCCATATATTTAATACAACAAACACCTTGCATTATGATCGATCAATATCATATATATATTTTAATAAAATTATGCCTGTTTGATTTAATAAAATATTTCTTTTACATAAATTAATACTTTTTTAATAAACTTAAATAAGACGCCTTTAAAGTATAACAAAACGAGTTTGTCGATTTATAAAATAACTTAAATTATGTTTCAACTAGTAATAACGATATACGTCTTAAATGTTTTTTAAAAGTTGTGTACGTATTTTATCGACCAATCAGAGGTTTCTCGTCATACGTCAACTCTTGGCGTGAGTCATAATATGTACGTTCAAATGCATGTACAAACGAGGTTTACATACACACAGTAACGGTATGGGTATATAATGTAAGTTGGGCCTTGAAAATTCGATAGTATTTTTTTGCTCGTGCCTGTAAATTACATCTAATTTTTGCTCCGTAAATTTAAAATTGATTTATGAATTTATAAAACTGTGATACGTATTATTGATTCCAATTAGTTTTGTTGAAGTATAAAAGCTCTCCAATGGTGCGTTACAAGAAAGAAGCCCAAAATGACACCTTCCCAAAATAAAAGATCAATATAGTCCCAGTACACAGGTGAGTCATGCGCCATATTCTCTTGCACCCTTTATGACCATCACACTTTTACTATTGGCGCACCAAAGTTTATAAAGAGGTTTATACTTATTATTCATCCCTGTATAATCTCCTGATGAACTTTGTTTCAAAATCAAATTATTAATGTAAGATTAAAAAATCTTATTAAATAAATTAACTACTATCAAAATCTTGCTTGTAGTACATTCTTTATTTTTTTAATAAAAAAAATCGTTTTTTTAACCATAATTACTGTCTATTGAATTAACATAAGTATAAATAATTCACGCACATATAAAAAAGTAAAAATTTACAACCGTAATGATAAAATAAAAATTACAAAGTAACCAATTTAAATAACTTATTGCATTTTAATGTTTATTTTTAAGCGAATCCTAAAACACTTGAAAATTACATTATTGTTAAATTTATTGATAATTAATAATTGATAAAATTAAAATCGCTGTTCATGTGGGGTGTATGATAAATAAGTACTCTTGTTCAAATGATTTCCAAGATTGCAAATTACTTAATATTTTTCTAACAATAATATTGATAAAGTTGTTAAAATATGTTTAACAAACAAAATAAACTAATTACTCTACGAAATCTCGTCATTCCTTACACGAACTGTTGACCTATGTTTAAACATTCGATAAGAAAGAAAAAAAATTGTACACACGGTATGCAGTCGTGAAATGTAACCTACCAACGGTACGGTTTACCTCATATTAACATCGGTGGTTTGTGATGTTGATAACGTGACATAATTTTTAAACATTAAAAAAGAACAGTTAAACCCCGGTGTAATTGGTGGTACGAGCAGCGCTACAATAGCAATAGAGTTTTCGGATTGATCGAGAATAACAGCATCACCACGGTTTACTGGTCGAACATCGTGACCCGGAACACTCGGCGGTATATGTTTTTACGATCGTACAAAATGATCACGTACGCAGTTGCCGACGGGAAAACGGGAAATCTGTTTGAAAACGAAAAGACCATGTTTTTTTGTTTCTCTCCCTACCGCCGCCCTCCTATGTTCGATTGGTTGGATGTGAAATTATCCGGAGTTCTGGAGGCTGTCTCGAAAACGATGCTTAGGTGCGTGCACGGTAACTAGGAAGTCGTCTGTTAAGATATCAATTTTTTAACGCCCGATAATCATAATTCCGACGATACGATAAAACAGTTTTTATTTTTTACACTTCCCGTTCGAAAAACCGACCGAATAATTGTAATAACATTATAATACATTACACCTATATGCAATAGCGTTACACGCGCGCGCGCGCACGCACACACACACACGCACACGCACACACGCAGTGTTGTACACGACAGCCCGCGAACAAGGTTGTACTTCTACTTCCCGCGTGTGCGCCGCCGTGGCAGCGGTTTCGTAAGGTCGGTTCGGCGGCGGCGGCAGCGGGTCCCGGTGTTGTACCGCACCGTTGCGTGCGTGCGCGCGCCCCGCGATTGTGCGCGTGCGAGCGTCTGTATAGGCATGTGATCGGGGATGACTCATCGCCCGAGAGAGAGACCGCCGCCGCTCACCTCGACCGCCTCCGATACGGACCCGCGCGCCACGGACTATCGAGAGACATATCGATGTTTGCACCTGCCCCGCTGCGCGATTGTTGTCGTTGTTTTTTCCTAACCGTTTCCTCCGGCCGGTAACCCGCCGCCCCACCACGGTTGAAAATTCTCGTGTACGTTTGCCCCGGAACAATCGACTGCGTCGGCTCGGACAATCGATTGAGTGCCGCCGCCACCGTCTTCCTCTCGCGATTATATCGTCGTTACTACTCCGCCGTCGTCGTAATCGTCGCGTGTCGTGTTCTCCGTGCGTTTCACTACCGCAGCACCATACGTTTCGTACGGAACTCGTGCGCACCGCATCCGCAAACCGACCAACACACACACGTCGCACTCGTCTCACACGGGTTGCTGCTGTTGTTCGTCCATCACGTATACCTACACTCCGTGTGCGTTGCGCCGGTGCACACGAACGTAAAACACTACACCTGCAGCAGATACGTCGTCCGCGTCTTGATCGTTTTTTGATCGCGTCTTTCTTGATCGTCATCATGTTGTTCATTCATTATCATTGATATTATTCACCGTCATCCCCGTTATTGTTCGTCCGGTGACCACCGCAGTCGATGATATATCGTCGGAGACGCGTGCGATTGTGATTTCATAAATAACTATCGTCAACGGCAGCAGTGTCATTACCGACCGACGTTGGTCGTACGCGACCTGATTTGCGTGGACGCGCGGCGACGATATGAGTTTCGAACGTAGTGGGAATTTTTTTCCGAAAACTCCGTCCTCAATAAATGAAAATTCCACCGAACGACTACGGGAGATGACCGTGGTAAGTGTTATTATGCGTGTGTTACGCGAGCGCGTGTTCGTGCGTGCGGGGTCTACTTACCTGTGTGTAATATTCGTATTATTTTTTCGAAACGGTTTTCGGTCGACTCGTGTTGGACTTTCACCGCGAAATCGACCTGCGTTATAACGCGTCAGGTGTCGTCCTTTCATTACAATATGTTTTTATTTCCCATACACGGCTATAGTCGGCCGACTATCATCTGTATAATATATATTAATAATGAGTACTACAGATCAAAGTAAAACTATTATCTTTTGGTACAATTGCTTATAAATACTAGTGTTAATTAATTATCAATAATAGTGTTAATGATCAATGGTCACCTTGTTCAAAACAAAGTATTACAAGACTAAAAAGATCGTGTTTGAAAAATGTAAAACTGATAAACACGGCGACGCATACACTGCATCTATATGTTCGTCGTTGTGACGCAGTCCAGTGCAATAATAATAGTAATAATAATGTATAGGTACATGCCCTATTGGATATTTGTCGATGTAAGACGTCAATTGATGTGTTATTGTAACAATAATAATAATTTTTTTTATCAATCAGTCGTATCATCAGTGGTAAAATCGACACTTCCATCGTCTTTATATTAGAATATTCAAATGGTTTTTGTGCTATTTATAAATATGTAATAATTGGCAACATTTCAAAGTTTTCACGTGTCCTATGCAATTTTTCAAAAAATTCGCATGTTTTCGTGACTTGATCAATACTTTAACGTAATGGCAGGTATCGGTATTGATGGTTCTTTTTCTTCTCAAATAATCTTTTCTCTTGGTCACATAAAAATTTAGATGATTTGAAAATAAATAAATTCTTTTCTTTTTACACAATTGTGTTACAGTTGTGTTCATATGTCTTAACTCGTATTTACAAAATTATTATAAAATCATTTTGAGTTAGTTGCTTTATTCAGAGAAGTTTGAAATGATTCGTCTATCTAACTTCAACACCCGTTATATTTAACTTTCAAATTATTTTTTTATTTTCTAATTACATAACCAAAAAATTGCTGAGATATTTTAAAATTTTATCTTCTTCGTTATAGATATAATTACTTAGCAATACAATTAATAACATTTAAAATTATATAAAAAAAAATTATCTTCATACATTATACTGATAATAAACTCAACTAAGATTAATGATTGATATTATTTGTTTATTTTATATTATAAGTATTATTTTCGTCTAAACAAATTTTTCGTATATAAATGTATTTATGTAATTTTCTTTCATACCAAATTAACTAGTCAGCTTAAATAAATAATTATGTTGTTTAATTTTATTTTAATGAAGTGTTAAACATTATATTCTGTTACAACAAAATGTACTTGACGATAAACTTATTAATACTTATTTTTTAAAAGAAAAAATATTGTTTAGCTGATAAAAAGTTTAGTGTTAAACTATTGATTGAATTATCTTAAAAGTATTGTGTCATATTTATAATTATCTCACGAAATTTCAGTCGTATCCCATTAAACACTTAATACAAGTACTTACATCATCTGTTGGAAAGTTATAACATTATTTAAATTATAAGAAAAAAGTATATTTGACGTTTGTTTAAATTCAAATATATAGTCAATTACAAGGTAAATTATTGAAAAAATTTAGAAGCACTAACACTACTTCTAAAAGTATTCCGTTCGTCATAATTTTGTTTGTCCCTTTTCGAATTTTTATTTCGTGTATACACATTTACATCAGGTCGAATACAAATACTGATCATAACTTATAAAATTAACCGTGAATATAATGTTAAATTTACTATAGATCATTATGTTCATTTATTATTAATAGTAATCTGTGGTATTTGTTTTTTGTTATCATTCATGGTAGTTTTTTCAATATTATGCATTTTTTTCGTTTTGTAAAATTAAATTTTTTATACAAATTTAAAATATGTAGTGTATAGGAATAAACATGGGCATGTATTTTTCATTATTATTATTTTTACTACACATTGTGATAAATTAAATTATATTTTGTAGGTATATTATGAACTTTAAAAATGAACAATTTTTAATGTTGTAATTGAAAAAATGTATCGCTAAAAATATTATGTAATTATTTAATTTAATTTATAATTTAACCTACTTAATTTTAAATTATTATTTTCTCAGGCTGAATGTAAATTTTTATATGCCAAGGTGTTGTATGAGTGTAAATAATTTAATAAAATCGACAGTAAATTATTAATAATTTATTTCATTATTTTACAGTGTGTTATAATCCGTGAATGAAAAACACGTTTTTTATAAGAATTCGAAATGTTAGCTGGATGATAATTACATTTTAAACATAGTGCAATTGAAAATGTATACTTTAAGCCTAATATTTGTGTTTAATGTTTTAGTGTGTCATTTGAAATCTCATCAGCAGCGTTGCCCCATGTCGGCCGTCTGTTACGAAGGTGGAGTCGGTGGCCGATCCCGAGCTGGGCTTAGGCTCAGTCTGAACAGGAGTATCAGTGAGCCAGGCCCAGCGACAACAATTACAGTTACTACACCGACAAACTCAAAACGTTTTCGATTAGAACCGATACCCAGTCTACCTGCCAGTTTACCTGCTAGTCCTAATTCGGATGGTACCAATTTAAGCAGCGCTCTTATACTCAATAAGGTGTGTATAGTAATTTATACCTTGTTCAATAATGTTTTATCGAATGTTTATTCATATCGACTAATCGGTGATCAATCGTCAGTTATAAAAAACTGACTCATCTAAAGGATGACTTAATAGCATATTTATAAATATTATAAAACTTGATATCATATGTAATTAAAATGTCAAAAGGTTGAACGTATCTGGTCAGGTTAGATTTAATTTTAGTGTTGTATGTTAGTAAAATGGTACGTCATTGATTTTGTATTTATTTTTATTTGTATTGCTATCATTATTTATGACTCGTTTCAGTGTAATATAGGCTATTTGTAATTAATTACAGGTTAAACGAATAGACGCTGATTCTTTGAGACAAAAAATGGAACTTTTCGGGCCTGCAGTCTTAGCCATCGATTGCCGATCGTTCGTGTGCTACAATGTAAGCCATGCTAGGGGAGCCGTAAACGTAAATGTTGCTGATCGAATTAACCGGCGGAGATTACAAACAGGAAAAGCAACATTGGTAGAGTTGGCATCTTCAAGGGACGCCAAAGACGCTCTCAGAAGACGGGGGTATAGAGAAATAGTGGTATATGATGATTCCACAACTGACTTAGACAGGATACCCCATAACCATCCACTGATGCTAATTCTTGCATCATTAGTAGACGATGAAAGAGAACCTTCTTTTCTCATTGGTAAGTCATAGTTGGAAGTTAAAACACATACATTGTGATAGCTTAAAATCTATTTTGTTTTATTCATTGTATAAGTCAGGCGTGCCCAACCTATAAACCGCTGGCCAATTCCAGTTCGCGGAAGTATTCCAATGAACCCATGAAAAATATAAAATGTAACAATATAAATTTTTAAATTAAAAAAATTTATAAATATATTTTTAATCAACTTTTAAGAACTAAAAAATATCTTACAATAATTTTAAATTAAAAAAAAAAATAATAATGCTATAAATTATTAATAAATATAAATAAATTAGTATGAAATTTATGAATGATTTTATTTTGTTAAAAGGATTTAACCAATTTTTCAATGTTCAGTGTATAATTTGTTTGACCAATTCTCAATAAAGAGTAAATGTTCACTGGTTAAACAAGACCGGTTTGAACTTTTTGTATAATTCATATGGAAAAACGATTGTTCTCAAATATTAATTAATTTAAACATGCTCATTGATAAATTTTTATTTTTGGAAAATCAACATAAAAAATGTTATAAATAGTTTTAACGTTGTATGTTTATCTGTAAAATTTTTATATACATTTTTCAAATGGTTATTACTTTTTAAATCAATAAGATCAAGTTTAACAGTTTCTCAAACCTTATTTTGTTGACCTCAAATTAATTTTTAATAATTTGAAACAATACTTTATATAATAAGTTTTAAAAAACGATTTACAAAATTTACCAATAAATTCTCAAATATAATTTACAAAGTGATTCACCAGAATGTTAAAAAAAATATTTAATTTAATTAAAAATGAATGAATGAATACAAAAAAGTTATTAGAAATATACCAAATCAGTATTATAATTATAAACTTCAAATATTGTCCAAACTTAAAAAAAGATTGGGCATGCCTGATATAAGTTTAATAACATATATATATATATATATATATGTGTTATCTCAAATAACTGATTTAAAACTATATTAATGTCGAAGAAAGTTAAAATACTAAATTGTATTTTATGAACCTATCTAAAAGTTAGTTTATGTATTATTTAAAATAATCATTAATCAAATTACAAATATACATTTTTATATGAATACATTCAACATTTTAATGAAAAATATGAGTTATTTTCATATTTTATAAATAGTAAATTAGGGGCTCTTTAAGTATGACCTGCTAATTTTTATTTTAGTGATTCTAATTAACATATTTTATAAAAAAAATTTAAATTAATTAAAAATAGTATTTTAATGATTTATTGATTTTATATAAAATGAAGATAACTAAAAATATAAATATTGGTTCACATGTTCAATTATTATTAATTACATAAATAATTATGTTTTATTACTATTTTAAATATTATTCACATTACATTTTATGTATTAATAACAAAGACTGACTTATACAGATAATAGGTTTTTAAATTTCAAAAATAAAATGTATTAATATAATTTGTACTCCTTGGCTCTAATGGAGTCCTTAAAAATCTGAAAAAACCCCTAAATTTAATAGTTTGGAAACATCTATTCTGTAGATCATAAATAAATAAATTTTGATTAATAATGTCAGTGACTATGCATTACATTAAACTATTTATTAGTATTATTAAAAAAAAACCTGATAATCCTTATAAATCCTGTACCTTTTAATTAACTGTAAGGTCCATATTATTATTAAAACACTTTCCCTCCTATAGTTAAAATATTGAATATTTATTTTACTTTATGGCATTTATTATTATATTTTAAAGTTTTAAACTAAGTTTTAAACATCACATATTCTAAATAAATATTGATATTTATGTAAAGTAACTGTAACTTAATTTTGTAAATAATTATTTATCAGTAGTCATGGATATACAAATAATTAATACATTTTGATATAATATGTTTATTTAAAACTAACTGTTAACTTCATATAATATGAGTGCAAACCATTTACCTTAACAAATTAACAAATTCCAAACATTTTAATATAAATACAATTTCATGTACATACTATACATATTATCATGATATAATATATGTATTATATTCATCAAATAATATTTTAGTTTACTTAGGATCGTCTACATAAAAGTAAATTTTAATTTATTATTTAAGAAATACAAACATTTTTTATAAACTTATAAATATGGTAATATTTTTAATTTACATAGGTAGTTGTACAAAAAGTGTCTTAGAAATAAATATTTGTTTAAAATTATCCTTTTTATTTTAATATTATCAGTAATAGAGATACTAAGATTAAATAATTATCAATTTAATGAGCAGACTATAATAATTTATTTGTCTACGGGATTATTAATTATTATAGAATATTATCTTTAATCTAATTTCCAACAAATAGTAATAATAAGTCTTAATAACTAACCAACTTTAAACCATATTCATTTAATTTAAAATAATAAATAAATAATTTTGTGATTTATATTTTAATGTTATTATTTGAAATTTATATTTATATTTTCATTTTTATGGTTGTTAATAGACTAAATCTAAAAAATGTTACCATTATGACATATTGTGTTACCAAAGGCTTTATTTTATATTAATTTGTTTATGAGGAGGATTAGCGGAAACATACATAATCATCATACCCTGATGGATGACTGTTCTTTCATTAATTACACATGTTTGATTCTAAATATGAAAATAATTTATCTGTACACTTAATTTAGCTACTTTATCAATTTAATTTTTACAGTTTAGCCATTACATTGAAACTGCTAGAAAAAATGTGACCTCCGGGCCTAACTATTAGTTCTGTACTTCTATCTATTTAAACTATTACTTACCACTGACATCATCAAATGACTTCCAAATAATAACTAGAATAGAAAAACTATCATCATGTTATCATTGGTGAAGTCACTGTTTTCTAAATTAAATGTTTATTATTCATGTTATATACTTCAGTTATTTTTCTAATAATAAGAATATTATTATTTATTGTAATGTGCTTAATTATCAATTGCGGCGATAGCTAAAAATTATAATAAAGTTATAATATGTATTTAGGCGAGAAAAATAATTAGAGACAATAGTCATTTATTTGCTTAAATAATGAAGTTATTTACTTTGTACGTGTTTTTTGATATTATCCATAGTAAAATATTATTATCTATATTGATCTCTTGGCTACGATATTAAGGTTTTGTGTCTAATGTATTGTTTTCCATGAATATTTTTAGTAAACAATATTGTTTTGAAAATTTTAATTTAATACTATATATACCCTGTATACATTATTTAATGATAAATGTAATCTTAATAAAAAATAAATATTTGTGGTTATATTCGAGATGAAATTATGAACATCATGTGGTTGCTGAAATATAATATATCATAAATAATCATTGTATAAAAGTATTAGTTTCAATGAAATCTAATAATATTAAGTTCGTTCATCATTATTGGAGTTTTAATATAAACGAAATAAGGAAATTCATATATATTCGTGCGATAAGTATCACATGCTTGTCTATAAACGTTTTCATCAATATTCGCTATGGAAATAATAAAATTATGGTTTATTTTGATATCTACCAATGTATCACTGGCATAGTAAATTTAAAGAACAGCTGTCCATTATGTTGGCAAATATCCCTTCCAGGTGGAATGCATATGCGTCCCCATCAGACATAACGACGTGACTTTTATAGATTTTATACAAAGGAGGTATTTAAATAATATGGCTTCACATAATTCCCAAAAAATCCTTAACAACGTGACTTAATGATATGTTTCTTAATATTTATTATGTAAATCGGATAAGTAAAGACGAAGTCACGTCCTGAATATGCTTATATTTTCATTTATACTCAAATTTTATGTTAAATCAGTTATGTCAAACACGAGGCCCGCGGACCGCATGGGCCCATAGCTAATTTTTTTTGTGGCCCTCGGCTACCCAATATCAATCGACAAAATAAAAAATTAATAGTAAATAAATTATAAAATATTAATGTCATGTCGCAACTATCATAGACTTTTAAAGATTGTCATATTGGGTATACATGATTACGTCTTCTACACTAATAAACTGTAACCGAGTAAGTTTTATTGTTGGTTTTATATGTATACAATGTATACAATGCTATACATAAAATAATATAAAATTTTTATGTGCGGCATGCGTAGTAAACTGTTCAATATATTTGGCCCATTTGATACTTTGAATTTGACATGCCTGTTTTAAATTTTATAGCAGAATATCTAGTGGTAACTAATGATAATGTGAATAATATTTTATAGAAAGTGCATATAGAGTGTTTTATCGCAATAAAAATTATATTTTTTACAGTCTTTTATTAAAATTTATTTATTTATATTTTCGTCTTTTTATATGTTATAAAAAATGTCAAGGAAGTATCAATGAAATTTAAACACTACTACCATTTACTAAAAATATAATGTACCTTAAAAATGATTTTCAGAAATTCATAATTCGTATCGTAGAAAATCAATTATATTTAGTCTACAGAATTACAATTTGTTTTGTTTTCCATTTTTTTTTTTTTTTTTTTTTTTTTTAATTATTATTATTCGAAGTATAAAATATATTATACAATATTTGCCTCTATGTATATTTTTAAGATAAACAACAATTTATTTATATTAGGTATAGTTTAGAACATTTAAAACTGAAATAATAACAATATTTACAAAAATAAATGTATGTTCAACTCGTACGTACATTTAACGATTTTTCAATGAATTGAGTTTATTTGAAAACACTTGAGTTTGAAAAAATGATTTTCCTTGTATTTTATTTGTCTATGGAATTAATTTTTTACTGTTGATCAAAATTCTACCATAGAAAAATCTATTGTATTTTAACAAAATTCTTATTAGAAAAATGGACCACTTAAAAATATTAATCTCCAAAATGTCCCGGATTTATTTGAAAAACACTGAGGGGAAATATTATAAAAAGACTAACCCTAGCTCGATATTAGGGTAGTTTTCTTTCTTTTAACGTGGGGTTTCCTAGATGAG